ACAAAAAAGAAAACAAAATCGATTGAAAGCTTCGAACCTTGTTTCGCCGGAGCTTTAGCAGAGAGGGAGAGAGATGAAACAAATCGATTGAAAGCGGTAAAAAAAACCCTAAAAATCGCTACACAAAAAAGAAAACAAAAAAAACGAACCTTGTTTCGCCAGCGAAGAGAGCTGCGATTGAAAGCCGAAAAAAAAAATTAGCTTCGAACCTTGTTTGCCGGAGAAGAGAGCTTCGAAAAAAGGTTCAGCAGAGAGAGAGAGAGATGAAAAATGAACAGTGATTTTTTTTTTTAGCCATTTAGATTTGTAAAACACAAATTTTAGCCACATATTTAAAAAAACCTCTTTTTTAACTATTTTGGCACTTAAAATGTCAAAAATACCCTTACTACCATTTTTTTTTAAAAAAATAATCTCTCTCTTCTCTCTTACCCAGAAATCGATTTCTGTTCCCAGAAATTGATTTTTAGCCCCAGAAATCAGATTTCTGGGTCAGAAATTGATTTTTGGGTAAGAAATCGATTTCTATTTCTGGGTAAGAAATGGATTTCTAGGCCCAGAAATTGATTTCTGACCCAGAAATCGGTTTCTTACCTAGAAATAGAAATCGATTTCTTACCCAGAAATTTTTGGGTAAGAAATCGATTTCTATTTCTAGGTAAGAAACCGATAATATGATTTCTGGGTAAGAAATCGATTTCTATTTCTAGGTAAGAAACCGATTTCTGGGTCAGAAATCAGATTTCTCGGTAAGAAATTGATTTCTATTTCTGGGTAAGAAATTGATTTCTAGGTCCAGAAATTGATTTCTGACCCAGAAATTGATTCCTAGTCCAGAAATCATTAAATGTTCCAAGAAATTAATTTTTATTTTTTTGCAATATTCATGTTATTAATTTGATTTCTAGGTCAGATATCGATTTCTAGGTCCAGAAATTGATTTCTGGGTCCAGAAATCTATTTCTGGTACTAGAAACGAGATGATCCAGAAATTGATTTCTATACTCAGAAACGATTTTTGTTCCCAGAAATCGATTTATGTTCCCAGAAATTGGTTTTTAGCCCCCAGA